CATTTGTGCCCAAACCTAACCACACGTTAACCACAGCATTGTTGAAGTATAGTTTTCAACAAATCAGCTACATGATAATGTGCAAATGCAGCCGAAACATACAGTGCCTACATTTTTTCCAGCAGTTAGGTTGGGTGCCCCACAGGAAAAACTTTAAATGTATCACTGTGAGACTTGGGGGGTTTCCTTGATCCAGTACAACAGAATGTATCGGCTTGCTAGAAGCAGAAGTTTGAAGTCAGCTGCCCAGCAGATAAAGAGAAGTGCCCCATAGGTATATGTTTTGAGGAAAATTGAGCGAAGCAGAAGCTCCCAGGCTATATTTTTTCAGTACCTGGATATCAAGAGACATTGCCAGTTATAATAATTAATATGAATATTTTCTGAAACAATGAATGCTCCCTGTATGATGAATCTTTGAAGGCTTTATTAATACAAAATTGTGAGTTTCTAGTTTTTGGGATGGATGCCTGTCGGGTCATCTGAAGTTTGAGTCTTGCTTGACATAAAAGCAATTAAAAGTCCAGTTCTAGCTCTCTTTTAGAGGACACCTCTCAACATGTAGCATGCACTGTATGGTATATGAATGGTGCTGTGCATTGACAGTGAACAACTTTTGTTTGAAATATGTGATAGCACTGAAAATGATTGATCTGATCACAACACAGCACGCTGTTTGTCTTAACAAAGACTTAGCTCTGATCAAATTGTCATCTGCTGAAGGTAGACATTAAATACCAGAAAATCAGCCAGGCTTACATTTTTTCTTCTGTCCAAGCTTGTAAATGTGTACATCTGTCAGGAGAGATTCCTATCTGTCTAACAGAACGCTGTGCTAATCCTTCTATTAGAGGTTTTAAGAAGCCGTGACAGGAGAGGAGATAGCATTAAGCCCTCTCTGTTGGGAATGAGCTTCAATCTATTGACAGATGCGTGTTTAATCGCTCTTATTAGCGTACATGCACATACACAGAGAAACCAAAATCTCACTCAGAAGCATTCTCACATACTCAACTCATACACATCAATCTGCTCTGTTGTCTGTCTCAGGGTGTTTTTAGCAGCAGCTTAAAAGCTCAGTGGCTGGTTCACAGTGTGATAATGGCTCCTATCTAGAAATGTCCTGTTTCTGCAAGACGGTCATCATTCTCATCAATTACCTCCTCAGGGCTTCCACACACTCCTCTGCAAACACACACACTCACAGACTCTGAGCACACAGCCAGTGTTTCAGTTTATTCTGGGGAGTGCTGTTCTGTACTCACTCTGTCGTTTCTCCTTGTTCTCAACACTTTCTGCTTGTTTGGATTTCGTGTCAACCTTGATCCTTCTCATTTGCTGTACTCATATCAGGTTGTCTGGGATTCTTTGTCTTCTGCCATTCTGTTCAACTCGGGGAAATGCATGGCTCATTTTATGGTTTGAATTTCTTAAAATACTTAAGGTGTGTTTGCTTTACCTCTGTAGACATTTTTCCAGCTTCAAAACTGGGCCAACATTTGCATTCATTACCATGTCCTTGTGTTTTGTTTCTTCAGGTATGCAAAGTTTCCTCAGCTAATATTTAGCCTGAATCTACTTTTCCGTCCCTGACCTCTCTTCTCCCTCCTTCTTCACTTACCACTGAATATTTCCCCCTCATTTTTTCTCCTTTTTGTTTTTCTTCTTAATTAGATCAGTTACAGGTGGCCTGTTTGTTTCTCGCTACATTAAAGTGAGAATTTCGTTTAGAGACCTGGTACATTTTGCAGGTGAAGTAAAAAAAAAAAAAAAAATACACTTAACATTCAAAAAATACCCTACTTACACTACTCTGCTAATGACCATATTCTCTGTAAATATAGACTACAACTCGACATCTGCAGAAGTGCATTATTATAAAATGCTGAAGTATCTGCTGTCTCAGTTTTGGTTCTGTGTATTTTACCAAAGAGAGGAGAGAATTGTGTCAATCATGAAGAAAATATTTGTACCCAAGATGCTTGGCATGCAATGTTGCCCTCAGTTATGGGGTGCCACAGGGGCCTATTCTTGGACCAATACCGTTGCATTACACGTAACACACATTCTTTCTAATCTGTACTTGAAACCTGAACAGTGTAATCTTTGAAAAAAAGATGTAACAAATTATTTATCTTATGAATAAAAGTTTATTTTCTAAACAATGATATGCACCATTGCTCGATTCAATAAACTTAGGGGCTTAGCAGCTGTAGCAACTCATATGCCAGAAAAAAATTTGTTGGCTCACACACTATGTCATTTGAGAAACGTCAAAAGACTATTTACGAAATGTGCAACTGTAATGTATAGGTAATTTTCAGAAACATACAATGCCAATGGTTTTCCTGTGGTTCCTGGGCTGGCTATAGCCTTACTTGTTTTTGGTACGACCAGGAGCTTTAGTTAATGTTAGGTAATGTCAGCAAATTTTATATAGATAAAGCACTGTAACTGACATTACCTTGTTGGCTCTTGTGTATTTTAGTTAATGATACCCAACATTTTAGTATGCCCCAAATCAACACTTCAGAACAAAAGTAAAACACACCATACACTGTACCTCACCTGGAGACACGTTTGTTGTTTCTTCTAGTGGTCCTATTCCACCAGCTCTCAGTCAGGTCATCTGATGATGCCTTTAAACCAAATAACTCACAATCATAGGCTGTATATGAAGACGGACGACAAAGGAGCATCCCAAAAGTAAAAGCAAAACATGTTCATGGCTACAGTATAAGCCATGAACTCTGCCCCTTTTATCTTATTGGATGTGACATGAGCAAAAAAAAATCTGAGTAGATTACATATCAAATAAATTTTCCCAAGGATGGTTTCTGTCATTTTAGGTAGTTCTTAAACTGCAGATGTATGTTCAATTGTTAAGTTTGGTTTTAATAGTGATTTGATGTTATAAAAAAGGGGGTTTGACAAAAGTGTGCCTGTGATCAATGTTTGTCATCAGTCAGACAAGTGTATGGGTGGGTACTTTGATACTGCAGTGATCTCTACTACACAGACTCTAGCTCCAAATGCTGTCACCAGCACAAGAATGCGGCTGCCATATTCAGGATACTTTGGCTCCTTTTTTGAACAATTGGAGAAAGTGGAAACAAGTCGTCCTGACAATCTTCCAACATAACTTGTTAAATAGTACATCTCAGAGGTGTGGACTACAGTCACATGACTTGGACTCAAGTCCAACTGAAGTCTCAAACTTGATGACTCGACTTGATCAACAAGAATGATTTGTGACCTCACTTGGACCTGACTTGAAAATATTTGATACTTTCCCCCAAGCCCAAAGATTGAAAAGTATTTTATTAAAAAATTGTACTAAATCCACATTGTTTGAACCAATCCAACAGCATCCAATCAACTTGCAGGAGAGAACCGTTACATTACTGAGCGCCAGTTGGGAAAAATTATGCCAAAGATAATTTTGTACAAAACTAGGCAGCTGTCACCAAAAACAAGTTCCAGTATGCAAAACATCAAAAATTAGACATAGACTATATATATATTATATATTATTATTCAGTTGTTAAAAAGACATTGCATTTGGTGAAAAGCCAGCCTGTTCTCATTCTGACGTTGTCAAATACCACCACTTTATCAGTGATTAAGACATCAGACACCAACAGCAAGAGCCAGCTTTTACAGCATTATGATACGCTGCTGAGTGGCATCAGCTTGAAACACTGCCAGCAGCAACATAATATAAGAACATGGGATGTCTCCACTGGGCGGAAAGGGAGGGGGGGTGGATGAGTCCAGCAAACCTTGGACTTTCAACTGGGAGCCCGCTGTTAGCCTCCCAAATGAATGAAAACTGGTGCTTGGTCAGTGACTTCCGGCATCAGACACCAACCACAAAAAACGTCCTTTCACATCAGCATCCCTTGTAAGTCTGAGGAGGGCAGGTGGGAGGGTTGGTGGATGGGTCTAACAACCACCAACTTTCACCCAGGAGAGCAGTGTTTGCTTCCTGTATGATTGTAAAGCCAAACCTTGCTTTTTTTTTTTTTTTTTCTCCTAACCCTACCACATGCATTGTGCAAAACATAATCGCATGCATTTGCTGTTGGAGAAAAATACGTCAATTTGCGGTCTTGTACAGACGTAGTGAGCTTATTTTGAAAGATACTGTATGCAAACTGTACATTTCCTGTGAAAACTAAAGTGTACTGTGAAAACACACAATGCATGTAACAGGCTGAAAGTGACATGGCGTCCCAGAACATCAACAACCAACACACCCAGGGTACCTTGCACGTCATTTCTTGATGTGGAAAGTCCATGACCAAATGTCGATATGTGACAAGGTCAGAGTGAGAATGTGTTGGACAAAGCATTGATATGTGACAACTTGGGATTAGAACCCTTTGGAAGAGCACATGATGACTTGTTTAGGACTTGCAATTTGAATTTTAAGACTTGGGACTTGAGTGCAAAGACTTGAGATGTACTTGTGACTTGCAAAACAATGACTCGGTCCCACCTCTGGTGCATCTACAGTGATTGTATGCATCAAAGAAAGAAACAATACATAATTTGTGTAGTACCCAGAAATCAGTTCTTCTTTAGATTGTTTGATGGTGCTGACATATACTTGCATATAAATAAGATTTAAGGACATTTAAAGTTACTGCTGCTTTGTTAGCATTTTTTTTTGTTGCAAAACCCCAACTTCACTGGTTTGATTCCAGCTTGCAGCCTTTTTTGCATGTTATATCCCTCTTTCTGCCCACATTTCAGTCTGACTCTCCACTGTCAACTATCCAATGAAGGCAGAAAAAATGCCCCCTTAAAAAAAGGAAAAAAAGAAAATTCTCACAAAAGCACAGCAGAACTGAGTGACATTTTGATGTTTCTCCATAGCTGAAGATAAAAGGGTCTTCCTCTCAGCCACTGAGGCTGAACAGAGGCTCTTGAGGGTCTTCATCAGACATGTTAGAAAAAGTCCTTCCCCCTGAGTCTCTGTTTCTGTTTTTCAGCAGAATGTCTACTACACAAACTCGCAGCAGCTTCACCTGGGAGTGCTGAGTCCAACGATTGACGATGATGACAACAAGTGTTTGGTGGATGTGAACAGCAGACCCAGGCTGCTGGAGTGCAGCTACGCAGCCACCAAACACATGAAGCTCACCTGGACATTCACTCAGGTAAACCACATTCAAACAGAGGACCACATCTGTACATGTTCAGTGCAGTCTTTGCAGCCAGACCTTCCATGCACCAAAAGACAGAATGAACTCCAGCTGTGTGCATGTTTTACCCCTGTCAGGCCCTCTGGTTAGATGTACTGTATGTTGCCTTTTATCTTATTGGTTTGCTGTTTGGTATTCTGTGTGTAGCTGTAACTTCCTGCTGGTTGTCTGCTGGACCAAAGCTGCGTGGTTTTAGAGTGCATTTCTTAAATAATTGAGTAGGATTCATGCCTCCTCCTGTCCACTGTGTTTCTTCCTCTAAGAGGTGCCTCTTCTGGGTTTGTTAAAGCATGGATCATTCTTCTGTTTTTTTATGCGATAGGGGTTTTTAAAGCACATCTACTTTCAGTAATGAGCTTTCATACATCCACAGTGTCTGACTTAACAACCCTCTGTCTTATTTTTAATCTTCACAGTTTTAATGTTGTCTTAGAATGTGACAGATAAGTGCAGGGAGCTGGATAATTAGTATAAAGCAGACACTACTGTATTCATGCCTTAGGCATCTCTGGTCTGTGTGTGTGCATCTGTACGCGACTGTGTGTGTGTGTGTGTGTGTGTGTGTGTGTGTGTGTGTGTGTGTGTGTGGGGGTGTGTGTGTGCACTGTTTTCTTTTCCCAGACAGACTGAATAAGAGGCTTACACTATCATCTAGATCCTCTCTCTCTCACCCATTGTCCAGTGTCCTCAGAGAACTGTACCTCACCATACTTCAGCTCTCCAGTTTCCTCATTGTCTACAGCAACTGGACACACCGGCAGGAAAACTTGCCCTAAGCATTGGCCAGAATCAGAAATCTCACTTCTAACTTAAGTCAGAAGTCAAAGCGATGAAACCCATTAGGTGCATACCACTGGGGTTTTTTGAACGAATACTCCATTTTCTTCATAAAAGGTTTGTGGAGTCAAATAAAGCCCAATATTAAACTAAACAGAGCAAGCTAACACAGACGATGAAATATTAGATGTATCAAAGATTCAAAAGGGAAGTGAACGTGAAATGAAATGAAATAATCATATTCCTCAGGTCAAACTAGTTCTGGATCAGAGGAAAGGATTAAAAGTTCAAGTTAAAACTTGTGTGCAAAGCAAAGTAATCTTAGGGTTGAAACCTGGCAGCCCAGTCACCAGAAGAAAATTTTGCCAGTGCACTTTTCTGCAAACCACCAACATGTTTGCACATTTTATACTTATCATATCAACATTTCTTAAGTTATGAGCTGACTTTGTCATCAGGAGGTGGAGGGGATGGTGGATGGTGTGTCTCCTAGGCGATATGCCTGCCAAGCTGCAGACCACTGTTCAAGAGGAACAGACAACAAAACCTGCTCTTTTTTAGCAATCTGTCGCTGTGTTTCCAGCAACTTTTTAACCCCCAAATATGGGTGATTAAAGGGAACTGTCGCTGTATTTTCATGGATGATTTTTAAGGGACCCATGTTTTTCCAGCAGCTTTTTAGCTGCTTTAGTTTGGTGGAGTCAAATAGAGTCCAAGATTAAACTGAACAGAGCAAGGTAACACAGATGATGACATGTTAGATGTATCAAAGATTCAAAGGAAAAGTGAACATGAAATGAAATGAAATGAAATAATCACATTCCCCGTATCATATCAACATTTCTAAAGTAATGTGGTTAAGAACTGACTTTTTCATCTGGAGGTGGAGGAGTTGGTGGATGGTGTGTCTCCTGGGCAATACGCCTGCCAAGTTGCAGACCATTTTTCAAGACCAACAAACCAATCATGATTCAGTGAGTTATTGCTATGTTTTTCAGCAGCTTTTTAGGCATCAAACATGGGGTTTTTAGCGGCAGATAGTGGCACGAAACATGGTTGTTTTTTTACAGAGACATTGCTGCCCCTACACTTATTTATTACAAGTATTTTAACCTAAACATGATCTTCCCCTAACCATAACCAAGTTGTGTTTGTGCATAAATCTAATCACATTAATCACAGCATTGTTGAAAATTTAAAGTTGCAATGCATCTACTACATAATAACATGCAAACATAATGTATCTGTGGTTTGCAGAAATGTACAACTTTTTTTTCTGGTGATTGGGTTGACTCTGCCTCATCGAGTACTGTTTTGTAGCTGTTGAGAGAAGGTCTTGAGTTTTCCATCTACCATAAGTGGAATATTGTTTAACCAAGCAAATAATTAAAGACACTTGCACTGTTATCATGACTAATGACTCAAAGACACATCCACTCATTCATGGTAGCCGTGTAGAGGTACACTATCATATGCAAGGTAATTTATACTAATCAGGATCCTAGCAACCAAATCAGATTAGATCAAATAACATGCATGCATTGTCTTACCAAGTGCTTCACTCCATGAGTGTATACTTCTAATGCCAACAATCAATCCTGGTACTGGCCTTTAACAGGGTGGAATTTTATGATTATTTTTGTAATTTAATTATGGGAATGGTTTCAAAAATAATTTAAGTCCAAATATCTAGCTGCAATTATACGAATCATCGCAGCAGAAATACAGTCTGTACCCAGAGGGCTGCTGGTTAGCCTACAGCAGGACAGTGATGGTTTGCAAACCAGACTCCATGATTAGCCAGCCAACAACTGAAATGAGCCTAATACAAAATGAATTATGTTAATTAATGAAAACAACATGATTCCATTAAAAAGCAGCAGAAATTATTACAGTAATATTTCTAATAGTCAAACTAACCACAGATAGGTGTGTTTGCGCAGTATTTTGTGTTTATGCATGCATACATATTTATAATCTTGAGCACTGAAAATGCGTAGGAAGGCCATAAAGAATGTAGGCTGAGGAGCTGACACACAGATGAAGGCACATGGAGATGAGAGAGGAAAGAGGCAGGAAGAAGAAACTCACAGGTGGAGACGGACAAAGAAGAAAAAGTGTAAAGATACAGGCAGCAGAAGACAGAAGGAAGAGATGAGAGCTAGAGAAAGGGAGGGTGAGGGAATATACAGACAGATCAGCGGTGGAGTTTAATGAAAAGGGAAGAGTCAGAGAGAGGCAGTGCTGGAAAGAAGCAAAGTGAAGGAGAGGCGGAGGGAGGCAGTGTTTCATGTGAAGCGGGCAGTCAGTATTTGTGAATTATTGATAAGTAGATCTTTTACAATATTGAACTGAGCTTGACCCCAAAGGAGCAGACATCAATAGAGAGAAAGACAGAGGGAAGAGAGTGGGAGAGGGAAAGAGAGAGAGGGAGATATTGCCTCACAAAAATCTACCAAGAGCAGGTAGGATTTTTTTATAAAGCAGCTGGTGTTTTCTGATATCAGTGGATTTTCTTTCATCTGCTATTTATTTTGTTGGTCTGCTTTTATTTGTCCCTTGATGGACACCACTTACCTTAAGGTATCCCAATAAAACGTTTCATTTTGCAAATGCTGAGCACTCACCACGGTTCATTACATGCAGTGCAGAACACAACACAACAGTGCTACAAGAGTAAGGAGCAGGCTGACTCATAGAGCTTCCTGAGGGAGAATGGTTAGCTTGCAGACATCAAGAGAAACAGCAACTCTTAGTATCGATCACAATACAGTGTATAAATCCAAACAGAGAAGCACTGGAACAGCACTGAAAATACAGCTGATAAGAATAATTTACATGCTTTATGCACTCCTCTACTGTTGGATTGAGATTGACCTCCTTGAAATGACCACATAGGTCGTTTGTACAAGCAGCTTTTTAAGACCCATTTTTACATTTATTGTTAGGCAGGGATCTGTAGTGTCTGTACTTACTATTAGTGGAGCAAAGGAGGAAGTCAGGTGATGTAGTAAAACAACTGTTGTATCCTCATAGAGCACCTCCTGTTAGGAATGCACAGTATTGGATTTTTTTCTGCCAATATATAACAACTCAATTGACTGATAATCGATACCTAAATTAAGTGATCATTAAAGTCTCTTCTGTAGTAGAATTAACATCATATTATGCATGCATACACTTATGGTGATGGCCCACCAGCAGATGGAGACATGACATTGAATTCTTTTTAAAGTATAATATTCATTTATTGTGCAAAATAAGAAAAAAACACGCTGGCCAACTCTGATAGTTCATTTAAAAGCTCATATCGGCCAATACTGATGACATGCCAATATTGGCCAATATCAATGATGTACCAATATTTTCAGCATGTTGGTTGATTCCAATATTTAATTTTAAAACAAATACCGATGACATGCCAATATTATTGTGCATCCTTACTTGATATGATTTTCTACACATTTGCAACCCCCCGAATGATGTTACATACTTAGCATAAAGTTACATACTTAACGTAAAGTTGGACGTGAGGTATAGGCAAGTAAAGTTACTGTGGTTTGGTTTAGAAAAAAGATACCTTAAAATGACTCAAAGTTCACATGGTTCCAAACACCACCCTCCTGGGTAAAGTCCTGGATGAAAGGGGTTTTTTAACTGGTTTTGTGACCCATCCACCACCTCAACCTGCTTCCTTATGGGGCCACTTCTCTGTTCACTACAGTCAGCGCATTAGTCATGTGATCGCAGCCTTCCAAAATACATGGGTTATATTCAAATTGCTCATAATGTCTTGGGATATGTACAAATTTTGGCGCTTTTCTTTTCATAGGAAAATGTACAAACAGTGCATTAGAACAGCCTGAGTATGAAGAGTGACAAAGTTTGCATAGAGAGGAGGTCAAATTGACTGGATGGGTCAAAAATACAGGACTTTGACCCTGGAGACCGCTGGCATGGACACTACACTCAACAATGCATTACGTGGTGGTGGGCACAAAATGTGTTAAAATTACTTGCTGGCAACATGAAAACAATGCAAATGTAAAGTCAATGAGGATTTTTTCTCATGGTGGACACACAAATTAAATATAAAGAGTGAGAAAGTCCTAGGGTGGGCGGGAAAGGTGGATTTATGGGTCAAACTGCTGCAAGTTTGCCCGTTTTGGCCAAAAACA